GCTAGTCGGAGCAGATTCTTCATGGGTTTTTTCCAATACAAGAATTAGGGGTATTAAAAGATCTAGGAAGTGGCAGCTCAAAACAACCTAAAGGAGGATATTTTTCAGTAAATATTTACTTAAGCTGTGAAACAGTGTTGTAGACATAAAAATCTTGTATGGCCTCCAGTGGAGGTCAGATGTATATGTTGAAGAGAAATCCGTTGAAAGTTGCCAAATACAAAGATTTCTAGACCAGAAGGTTTCTGAGCTGATAACTGTTGAAGGCTTGGAGAGGATGAGAAGGAAATGTGATATGCGTTTGCCCTGCTGCTTCTCCTCCATAGGCATCTGCTTGTGACCACTGCTGGAGATAGGATTTGAGGCCAGATGGACACTGCTTTGTCCACTCCCTCTCCTCTCCTAACCTCCATATTTCTGAAACAACTGAAGCAAGGATTCTAGAAATACTTGCTATACCAGCAGCAGGTCCAGTCTGTGTTTTTAATGAAGCAAGAGTCCAGTTTGGAAAAAAAAACAGGCTATAATCATGTAATTAAAAATTAAATTATATGCAAGGCAGAAGTATTAAAATCATGCAGGCTACCTCATCTCAGTAACTCTTCTCTGAATTCAGAGTTTTGCACCTACAATACTTTTCTTTGAATGTGGATCCCGGTGCTTCAACTTTTAGGCTTGTAGGAGCCAACTGGAAAAGCAAAATAATTCTATGTGGACATCAGATAAGCACCCAGGCAACCAAATGGAAAGCAATCAAGCCTTCCTGTTGCATAGGTAGCTAGAAGTCCCGAGTTGTGGATTTTAATAAAGGATTCCTGCATGGAGTTAGGAAGAGAAGCAGCAAAGTACACACATGGCAAGCAGCATATTATGGCAGCTACGCACAAGCTCACACCAGTTTTCTGCTTTTTCTTGACCTAAGTACCATCTGAGAATACCCTCTGCTGACCAGTATCATCCCTGCAACATCAGCAGGCCATGAATGACACTGCTTGTACCAAAGGAGTAACTGAAAGTCACAGGCAGCAGCTGTCCTTTCTGCTGGAAGCCAGGCAGTACTGGGAAAGGAGAAGTGGGCACATAGCTAGGTTTCACCCTGATACCCTCTGGGGGTACCAAAGGAATGCACCCCACCACCAGGACTGGAGTACACAGTATAACAGGCTAAGGGCTGTGAATATTTGCAGGTTAAGAAAGCAGTGCAAGGAAAGGATTGCAGAATGTAGAGGATGAAAGTCAGCTAAGGATTCAAATGGTCTCTCTGGGCACTGTCTCATCAGGCATCCGTGATGTGGGGAGCTCAAGGAGTCATATGCGATCCCTTGTACTGAACCTCTGTTCACAAAATCCAGTGTGTGGATCACCCTCCCGCTGAGGCTGGCAGAGTGGCAGGACTTGGGAAGGAGCCTCCCCCAGGTGCCAAGCATCACAGGCTCGCAGAGGATGACATTACCTAGGACCTTGCTGGAGATCTATCTAGCATTTTTTGGAGGAACCTGCAATTGAACTGTCCTTCCTATCGTCCCCCCAGATAATGACCTGAGGCATTATAGCAGGAAATGCTGTGCACTCATAGATTGTTCCTATGCTAAGAAAGGGAGCAAAGGGAGGTTTTGTTCCCAGTACAATTGTGAAGTATTTCAGCTTCCCTTAGAGGATTTTGCAGGCTAAGCTCCAGGCTAGAAGTAAACTGGGCAGTATGTTCTTCCTCACTCCTCTGCCCTTGCTGTCACAAGGATAATTCAAAGTCTGTGAGTTATAGAGGAGAGCTGCTGCATAAACTCATAGCATCGTTTTGGACCTGAACCCATACAGCAACCTGCCCCGTGTCACCCTCTCCACTCAGGGGAGCCAAAAAAACAGCCAAAAAAACCTGTGCAGTGCCAAGGGAGGTGACTTCCCTGTCTGCATTTCTGACCGCACTTAGAGCCCGCAACATTCGTTAGTATCAAGTGGAACAGAAGTGTTCATAAAGTAAGCACTATACTGGGCATGTCTTCCCTGAATAATTCCTTGACTTGACTGCACAGCAAAATTGAGTCCTTATTGTCCTGGAGATAACCAAGAGATAGCTGTTGTTCTGAAGTGTCTATAGGGTAAATGTGAAGGCACAACACTGGAAACAAAATAATACAATCCTCATTTTATAGGCAGGAAAGGGAGGGACAGCAAAATTAGATGTCAAGACTGTATTAAAACAGAATCCACATCTCTAAACTCCATGGCTAGTACTTTACTCGCAAGACAATCTTTCCTGTTCTGCAGCACTGCAAACTGTTTATTAACACCACCTGATCTGCACAGGGCTGTTTCACCCTCTCCCAGATGCAAATAATTTTTAAAAAACAGCAAGCTGGTGGAGAATCACATTCTTGTTGTACAACAAATGAAGTGTCACATTTTCCCTGTTGTTTTTTTTTTTTTTGATTTGTGGAATAATGTGCTTATCAGTTCCCCTTGTACTGCAGCCTGTTTGCACAGAGAAGAGTCATCAAGTGCTGTGATAAAGAAGAAAGAACATCCCCAAGATATTTTTATCTGTGGATTGGGAAATACTAATTATTTTTCAACTGCTAGCTGTTCATTCTTACTGATCTTTCTAGATGTTCATCTCATGCTGAATGCTAATTTTATCTGCTCTGTGAACTGATCCATGGACAGTTGTCCAAATTCTGAAACATTTGAGGGCATGGCCAAACACAGGTGAAAAGAAGTAAGAAGCTAAAAGTCCTAAAGCACCTATTCAGCTCACGAGCATCCAAATTGCCCTGCTGCATGTTATTGTCTCTTCAGATCTACTGCCCTGGCTGCATGCGTAGTGATCCTTAACCCAAACATGTCATAATAATCTGGGTATGTTTAAGCACTGTAAATAATATGCCTTGTCTCACCTGAATTAGTTTGAGAAAACTGGGTTACATGCATGGTTACAGTGGAAGCATGTTTTGAACATGCTTCCTGCAACATTGCCCCTCTCTCTGGTTCTCCCTGTGATTATTGTAAAGGGTCTTGAGTTAAGGGTAGGGAATGGCTTTAAGAGAAGAGTCTGGGGGTTTTTTCTGTGCTAGATCTACCCTGGCATCCAAGTTTATGGCATTTATCAGTGTTGACAAATTCCCCAACTGTCCCTCAGCCCCCAGCAGGTGCATGCACACACATGCCGCACGTATGTGAGCATTACACATGCTCATTCCCCTGACCCTCCCAGGGTGTCCACAGACCTTCTTGCCATGTCCTGCACTCACCATGGGCAATGGGGAGCCGCTCTGCCGATTGGTCATTCCAGCAGTACACTGGATCACTGTCCTAAGAGAGAATCAGACTGCACTCATCTACCACCTGAATCAATAGAGATGACTAGCCTGGGACTAGAGTTTCAAAGACAAAAACTGGGACAAGTTGAGGGGCTGTCATAAATAAAGGTTTTGATGGAGTGAGGGAATTAGGAAGATATATATTCCTTTTCCCGAGTCTTTTCTGCAATGTCACACTGCAACACTTTAATGTAAGGAGAAAGGGGCATAAGAGTAGAAGAAATATTTATCCTTCTGAGATCTCTTCTCTGTGTGAATTCCCATCCAATCCTCAGTCTTAACCTACCATCTTCCTTATTCCAGCACTGGCAGTCTTTCAACAAAGGAGGGGTAGGTTGTACTTTCCTTTCCCCAGTTAGCTATTAAGTGTGCCAGTGGAAACTTGGCGGGAAGCTGAAGATGCTGCTTCTGCTTGTGGCAGGAGGTCTCAGTTCCTCTGTGCGGGCCAGAGGCAAATGCATCTCCCAGACGTCTCTTTGAAAGTGCCACAGCGCTCTGACTGCCCAGACCTCCCATATTCTGTGTCTGTGTGATAAACCTGACCTAGCCCCATCCCCTGCTTGCTGTTGTCTTCCTCTGCGCTCTGCAGCTTGGCTATAGTTGGGCAAATGGCCCTGGGAATTAAACTCCACAAAATACCAGCCCCCGGTACCCTGACAGAAGAAAGCAGGCAACTGGAACAGTGTGGCTGGGGTGTAGCCCCCGTTGCGCATTATGTGAGACACCTTTCTTTTTTGCTGTTTATCCAAAACTGATTGTTATGAAGCAAAGAGACCACACAGGGAATATATAGTCTGCAGAGAACAGCTAAATACTAAGTAAGTGGCTGGGACAGCAAGTGTGGGAATGACTTTCTCATAGACTCCTTGAATAACTAAACCTACAGGAACACTGACATTTTCGGGATAAGCCAGCCCCACCCTTCATAATTAGGGCAAAAGCCCTCTGTGAGTTGACAACATCCCTATGTTGCCAGCTACACCTGTGTGTCAGGTCCCGAATTATCCAAGGACCCAGAGAAATGTTGGTGGCACTGGAAATTATGCAACATGCACTTTGAAAACAGACCCTGAAGTAGCCCCTTAGCCACAGAGGAACTTGACCATTTAATATATACTTAAATGTCTTGCTAGACCGAAGCGACACTGTATGCTTTTGGGTATGTATGGGGACTTACTGTCATACGTGGATTTCTTCCTCTGTTTCCCCCAGGGAGCAGCTCTTTTGCGCACTTAAACAATCTGGAAACAGTTGAAACTAAATCCTAGTATATAACGTGAATCCTGCGTTTAGTGGGTTTGACTTTTAAAAATGCAAATACACACAGGCCCTGATGACTTCAATAGCATTTATGGGTGCTCAGTGCTTGTATAAATGTCACACTATTTATAACATATTTCTGTGTCCTTTTTTTATATTCTCTGTTGGCCTGTCTCTTTTCCACTGTGATACCTTTGACTGACATAGTCACATCAGGATGTAGCATGTGTTTGAATAATTAAGAAAATACAAATAAAAGTAATGTTTATTCTAGTCCACATTTTTCCATTGCTCAACCACCAAAGATAACAGTACCATTTCACCACTGCTTTTTAAATTCTATGGAAGAAAAATACTTTTAGTTTTGCGGTGGTTTATTAAACCTTCCAAGTCCAATTATTTGCCCCTAGAGCTTCCCCCTAAGCTTTAGAAAATTGTTTCAGCTATATCCAAACTCATGCCAACTTCCTGGCTTCTCGGACGCAACCCATCAGCGAGTGCTCTACTAAGAACCACTTTGAGGCTTTCCTTGAACCTCTTCTTCTTGCTGCTTCCTACGAAGAAGTAAACAAGGGGGTTGATGCTACTGTTAATGGTGGAGAGAACAACGGTGACATGGTTCTGCTGGCTGAGCAAAGATGACCAGTGGTGGTAATTCAGAAGATACAACAGCCTCATAGGCATGGCAAAGATGAGGAAAACAATGACTGTGGCCACAATGATGATGTAGAGCTTTGACGAATGAGGTCTCAGGGAATTACGGTGAATCCTGATAACCAGGATCAGGCTGGACAGAATCATTAGAGGAATGAAGATCATGAAAGTCAGGATCCACGTGAAGATGAGCAGTGCTTGACAGTGGTTGCCATCATCGAATTGTTCCTTCGTTGCATCATCTTTGCATGTTAAGTATTCGGCTACTGTCATCAGGAAAGACAGAGTCCACAGAATTGCACACACAATTGCTGATTGGTGCTGTGACCGGTGGCATCGGTACCAGATGGGGTAAACAATAGACAGACACCTCTCAATACTGATGGCTGTCAGGAGATAGAGACCAGTATTATATCCAAGAAGGAAGACAATAGATAGTGTGGTGGTTATATAATAGTGAAAACCGTATGCGAATCCAAAACCGGCAATGTACTCAATTGACAGAACAAATGTACAAAGCAGTAAGGAGATATCAGCAATGGACAGGTGTGTGATGTACGCAGTGAATGGGTTTCTTTTGATCTGGAAGCAGAGGCACCAGAGGACAATTCCATTTTCACAAAAACCCAGGAAGGAGATGATCATAATTACCCAAAGTGGGGTCAATATCTCCCAGACCCTTTCCTGTGTAGAAATGTTTCTGTGCATTGAGATGTTCTCTGTGCCTTCGCTGGGATGAAACGTTATGTTTGACTCATCCATGGGGAAAGCTCAAGTTTGGATAGCACAGCTCTTCCTTCTGTAAATATGTATAAAAATATACTGTGAGCATTGTGTGCTCCTCCCCTCCCCCTTTCTTTCTGTTTTGTGGACCCTCAATTTCTGCTCATATCTGAAAGCCTTAGCAAAAGGAAAACCAGCTTTGATGTACCAGCTAGCTGAAACCCAACTGGAACTACTCTTGGCAATGTTAAATATTGCTATGCCCATCGTGCTAGCAGAAATCCTGAGCTTTTTTCTCTATGGGGTTCAGCGTATGAATGCTAAACTACAGATAAAGAGCTATCAAAGAGCTCTTGAACAAGCAATGTCTCCATCGCATTGAAAAGTTTAATGATATACTGGTCACAGACAGCATTGGTGGTTCTTGTTAGAGCCCTAGATTGTTCCCAGACAGGTCTATTCAGCTCCCGTTGTACCTTCTGACATTAATTTTAAGTTAAACGTATGTATTTCAAGTGAATTTGGCTCATAAGTCTTTTGGTTTTAAAAAAAAAAAAAAAAGAAAGAAAGAAATTGATACCAACATCACTTTTCCGAGAAAGGCTTTAAATAAGTAAAAATAGTATGTAGTTACTCAGCATTGTATTCTCTCCAAGTACAGAGGTGGAGGGAAGGCGAAATTGTTTTGAGACAGTAATTTTTTACCACTTTAAGTGTCATTTATCACAGCATAGCATAATTTAACCATGATTACACACTCTGAACACTTAACACAACTGAAAATATCCTTCAAACATTACAAATCCAACCCATCACAAGAAGTAGTTGTTCAGGTTCCCTGCCATTGTTACGATGGTTTTAACTGTTGTTTTGCTGAGTTATGGAACAAGTTCTCCTTTTTTATGTCTCCTTTTATCTCATAACAGAGAATTAGCTGATCTTCATAAAAATATTTCATGTTCCTTTCCCTGTTAACTTCCTGGATGCCCCTGTGATGATACAGAGTCACATTCAGGACACTTGCTGATTTACTGATGTTAACAGGGACTAATTGTTCGCAATAAGCTTGCCCAGCTGACTTGGTTCATCCGTATAAGCAGCCTTGTTCATTAACATGCCATAATGAAAATTCACACATATCCTCAAGCAGTTAAGAACGTCATATGCAAGGTAAAGAAGTTTTACTGGGGCAACTTTTGCAATGATTATTTTAACAGAGCCATTCATCCCAGTCATAGATTTTCTCATGGGCCCTGGGTTTCCTGGGTTCAAAACAGCTTCTTCAGACAGAATATCACAGTCTAGAAAAGATCATTCAGTAAATGACCTGGGAAGCCTCAGGGCTTGCTGGTATTTAAAGCTGCATGAAAATGTTAGTGACGATCCCACCTGTCTGAGATGCAGTTGGAGGGAACAACTGACATATAGCTGAAAATGTGGTAGAGAAGTAAGTGTGAAGGCAACAAGTAAATGCAGTGACCAGAATGAGTGGCAAGCCTCCTAAAAGCAATGTTCTGCAAAAAATGCAAAGGGAGGGTGCTCAAACACTGTGCTACTGGAAGTGTAGTAAAGCTTCACAGGAGAAGAAGAAAAGAGAAGCAATCTACTCCATGAGTTAAAACAGATAGGAAAGGAAAAAAAGAATGGAAAAACTCAAGTATGAAAAAAAGACGCAAAGTATGAAAAGACTCAGAAAAGTTCTTGATTTGTATCTGTATAAATGGAGTATTTCTCTGTGGAGAGTGAAACAAAGAAGAAAAAGTTCTGGACTTACTAAGGTCATTCCCACATGACAGCATTCAGAGATGAGAATGGAAAGAATCCTCTCCTTCCAGATACGTCCATGGTCTGTTCAGATTTCCCTCTTCTTATTGAAGAACTTCCTTGAAGAAACTGAAGGTTACCTTCTCCAACCATTTGCCTTCTGTAAGAGGGGGAGCAAATAATGACTCTGACCATGACTCCCTCAAAAAGAAGTGTGCAGTTCTCCCATTGCTCCAAATGTCTGAGGCATGCCAAATAAAGGGCGCCAGGCTCATCATCTGAGGCTGTGCTTCAAATGGCATCACTCAGTAACTGGCAAGTCATCTAGCTGAAAGCCTGGGAGTTAACTCTTGTGGGAACTGAGTGGCAGTATATGGAAAGTTGTCCTAAGCTCCTACAATATCGAGACATAGTTTAAACAAACAAATGTGAAGTGTGTAGGAAATCTATTTGGGGATGATAAAATCTGAAGGAAAAATCTCAATTTAGAACTGTGCCACCATGTGCCATCTAAAATAATACAGGTTGATTCGTAAATTTGTCTTATATTTTTTAACATGAGAAAACCAGAAAGTGAGAAGGACAGAGAGGGAGAAGGACAAAGAAGAAAGACAGAAAAAAAGGTAAAAAAGATAGAAGATGAAAAAAAAAAGAAGGAAAAAGAGAAAGGAAAGGAAAGGAAAGGAAAGGAAAGGAAAGGAAAGGAAAGGAAAGGAAAGGAAAAGGAAAGGGAAGGAAGGAAGGAAGGAAGGCTAATTCACAGAATGAAGAAAATAGAAAGAAAGAAACCACAGAGCAAAGAATATAGCCACATCATTGTGTTAGTCTCATACATCCATTCCTGTTGGTAAAAACTGTATCTCGAGATTATTCTACCAAAAAAAAGGAGAACAAAAAAACTCCCAATAATGTGGACCAAAAATCTGTTCTTGAGACCTAAACAGTCTACCCTGAAAAGTTCAAACAGGCCTAGGAGGAGATAAACCCTTTGAAAAGTCCCCTGAGGATGTCCCCTGCTTTTGCCCCAAGTATTAGGTTGTTTTTATATTCAGATATTAACAGAACAAACATTCTTAGCCAAAAAAGGAGAGAGTTTGCTTAGTCTTTTCCTTTAGATGTTTCACTAAAACTACCAAATCCCCAAATGGGAAAAACTACTAACTAATGTGAGAAATAAATGACCCCAAAGAGGGGGTCAGAATAAAGTTAGGAAAGAAACAGAGTGAAATAAAATGACTTCTAATTGGTTTTTGTTGGCTTAAGTTGTAATCTACCTTGCGTTCAGCAGCTATGGGACCCAAAATTTCAAGCTACCTCTGAAAAAGAAAAAAACGTGTTCCTTTCCCATAAAATGAAATATGCACATGAGTAACGAGGAGGGTCATTGTAGGAACATGTTAACATTTCAAGATTGATCAGGTACCTGAGTTTGTAGCACATGCGGTCTGCTGTACAAATGCAAACCAAAATAAGGGATGCTCTGGCCTCTGTGTTTCCACCTCCTTCATGACTGGTCCCTGGGGTACCACCAGTCATCATCTACATGGCCAGGGCAGCAGAGTGAAACCTGGTCTTAAGGGGAATAGGTCACAAACACAGCTTATCCTTGGTGACTTCAGGAGTAACAGGAAGGTTGAAAAGCACAGGGTGACCCCACGGCTGCTGACCATTGGAGTGTTTATATCAGATGCTGCCAAGAGGCAGAGTGGCTATTTCTGAACCAGTTCAGAACTATTCAGATATTGATCAAGGGGGCTACAATAACAAAGCATGGAACCCCAACAGATCTTGGGACTAGAAATTAGTATTGAAAACAAAGACATGATGGATAATATGGATTCTCTGTTAATTTCAACCTAAACTGAATATACAGCAAGATGTGACATGAATGATAATTCATCCTAAAACTTTTCTCTCAGACAATAACCTGGTGGGACGGAGGAGCTTTGCAGTGAATGTAAATTGAACATGCTAACACTTTCAAATATCCTGTATGTACGAAGCTAGCAGTGTTACTTTTTCATCATTTTGCTTTGAGCCTTTGGATAATTTCTTGTTCTTATAACTCCAATTCCTGGAAGCAGAAGGCAACCTGAAAAGAACTCACAATTCGTTCATTAAATACAGCCCAACAACCTATGATTTATAAACCAAATTAGAGGAGTTTATGTGGTTGATACAGGTGCCAGTATATAAAAGAGCTTCTGTGTACCTGGAAGTCAGACCTCCTAATTATATATTTACACAAGCCGTAAAGAAAATCCCTAAGGGATGAGTTTTGGCAGCACTTTCAGGCAGTGCAATTTTTCCTGATGATCATTCCATCATTACCACTTTCCAGCTAAAATTCATTCCACAATTATTCAGCTCAAACAAAGGTTAGGAGTTGGGCTTCGGTTTCAGAGGAGGGTGTGTTGAAGAGCTGGGCTCAAACAACTAACAGAGGGCTGAGAGGCGCACTGGAAAACAGAGGTAAGATGACCAAAGCCCAAACAGGGGTCTCTAGGGTGCCATGGAGAGCAAACAGAGCACTCTGGGGCACACTGGGGACAAATGCATGCATCATAAGTGTCGTAAGATCCATTAAGGCGCGCAGAAACTGGGAAAGGCAGAATGACTTACGAGTACTCCTCAATAGGTGATAGGAGAATATTGTTAAAGTGGGAGTTAGGCTTAGGGTAAACCTTAGCATGAAGATTACCCTAACCCAAAACCCACCACAGAACTTGCTAGACACCTTTTATCCTACTCATACCAGCCATGATATACCGTTATGCCCAGTTCCCTAAAGGGTGGTAATTGGTGGATTGTGTTTTACAGGCAACAGGCATGAGAGATGGATATATTGTTGGCTTCTGCAAAGCAAGGTGGGAGCAAGTGTCACCAGCTAGTTTTGAGGCCAGCAGGTATTATCTGTTCATCGTTAAAAGTAAGGTTATGGTAAGAGTTAAGATTCAAGAAAACAGAAGATAAAAGACTAAGAAGACTAAGTCCAGAATCAGGGTTAGGATGAAGACTCCTTGGTGGCTGCTCAGTTGTTATAAAGCCAGTTATAAAATCCTGTTAATGGCAATCATAGGATTCTGGTTTTATGAGAACAGTATGGAATAGCAGGCTTACTGCTTAATCTGAAATCCTACTGAGAGATTTTGACACATAAAATTGGTAGAGGTGAATCAATTGTATTTTTTTCTGGGTAGTTAAGACCCACTGCATGTTGTTTATGAAACTGGATGTAGGTCCTGAAGTCTAGATGTACTCTGCGAACTTGTGAA